CGAGAGCGCGTTTGTTTTGGATTAGGTAAACCAGGTAACTCAAACATATCCAGGTTATGTTGAACCGGCTTCGTAGTACAGGCCTCTGGTGCTACCTGCAGAGTGATGGTGTTCAGAGGACTGTTCTGGAGTCGCAGCCTGTAGTTTGGATGGACGGAGCTCCACACCTCCTCTAACGACAGGCTCCGCCCCTCTGACATGGAAACATAGAGAAGAAATATCACTTATAAAGAAAACTACAAATATGCAAAGGTATGCAGACCCTCTCATACAGCAGCACATTTATCTTCCAGAACAAACCAATGGCAACTTTAGTCTGATATTTGAGTGGAATAAAAATGCGTTCAAAGACTAGAAATGTGATTATGTGGGGGCACAATTTTTAAATGAAACGTGGCACACGATGAAACCTTTGTTTTTTGCTTCATAGTGTGTTTAAGGTTTTAGGCGCTGTGGATTTGTTATTGTTTATACTATTGTTGATTCTATAAATGTACTTTATTATTATTGTGATTTTGCGTTAATTGTCTGGGTTCTTTAAAAATAGAGAAGATTGGAAAAAAAAATGTTTCCTCGGTTCCCAGGAGGATATATAACAGGCCTACATTACTCTCTTTATTGGTATGCTTTAGTTTAGTAGATATCTACAAACAAAGAGTCGATATTATTCTAAAACCATTTAGTGCTTCACATAATATCCTGATAGTTTATGCTTTAAGAGCTGTACTGTAGGTGACGTGTGTATACAGTGTGTGTGTCTGTGTGTGTGTGTGTGTGTGTGTGTGTGTGTGTGTGTGTGTGCGTCTGACCCTGAGTGCAGGCTCTGAAGTAGAGCACCGGTGTGCTGTAGCTGCAGGAGTGCAGGATGTTATACTCGTACTGAAGCAGCTGGCTGCTGCCTGCAGACGCCACACACACGCCGTCATCGTCATCTTCATCCTCCATGTCACCTTTGATGCTGTCAGTATCAGCTGAGGCATCAACAGCAGCCTGTGGAGGAGGACAGATGTTGGACAATAAAACATCAGCTCTGTCTCTCGGTAAATTTGATGTGTTAGTCTGAAACTGAAGCATGGAATCATCCTTCTTTAGGCAAATTCGTCTAATACAATTTTTTTACTGGCGCACTTAAATGACATTTGACCTGCAAGAATATTTAAAATCAGGAACTTATTATTTAATACTACAAGACTATGCATGTGAGAAACAAAAGGGATTAATAATGAAGGAATGTGGCAAAGCTGTATCTCCTGGAGAGTCACGTCTGTTCAATTTCTGTTTTTCATTGAGGCTGACAGAAATTAATTCTCTCTCCTTTTTTGTTATGACCTGATTTACAGCTTTAAATTAAATTAATTTTCCTTAATTTTTTTTCTAACCAGGCACTATGTTCATGGTTAAGTATTGCTATTGAGGTTAAGTTTACCACAGTGTGTTGATCAAACTTAGCAGAAGTGGCTTGATTTTGTTCTAAGCAGGGGACTTTGACAGAGGATTTCTCAAAAAATACACAGTAAAAGTACTTCAATGTATTGTTAGTAGTAGGCTAATACAAAGTCAAACAGTATCAATTTCATTAAGAACTAATGGTAAAATTATCTTTGTATCATTCATCAAAGATAGCAGAAGACATGCATTATGTACTATGGAGGGAACTTTTACAGAGGATTACTCACAAAGTACACAGTAAAAGTACTTCATTTTATTTCTGGTAGAAGTCAAACTAGAACCGAGTCCAACAGTGTCAGTGTTGATTGTTAGTATTTCAATCGAAGGTTCATGATTTTTGGCATCTCTTTTACCTGTTCCTGTTCCCCTTCCTGCTGCTCAGAACGTGAGGGACAGGAAGTGTCTGCCCCGCCTCCTTCGTAGTCCCACACTGAACTGGAGTCGATTACCACTGACCTGAGAGCAGTCTTCCTCAGGTAGCCCTCCTGAGAAGAGCCGGATCAGAACCGTTAGTAATATTCATGGAGCACAGCAGGCTCCGCCCACAGTGATAATAATGAGCTTTATTTGTGAAGCACCTCTCATTCAAGAATTGTAGTCCAAAGTGCTTCAAAGTTGACACTTGATATCTTTTAAAAGTCACATAAAATATATATCACATAGAATAAAGTAACCAGTAAAATACATGAAAATAAACATAAAAGAGCATGGAATAGACATAGAACAAATTGATTAAAATATAGGTGTAGGAGGATAAATGCAAATTCACATTGTGATATTAATAATATAACTCCAAACCAGGAGTGCATTGAGAAAGGGCAGCAGAGGGCAGGAGTTAGCTTCCTAAAGGCTCAAGTGTAGAAATAAGACAACAACAACAATAACAAAGCAGCAGCAGAGGATCTCAGTTAGGTCAGAGGTCTCACCTGCCCCCCCTCCCAGCTCCAGCCGTCCCCCAACTGCTCCGACAGCTGCAGGAGGAGCTGACAGCACAGGTGGAACTTGTCCTCATCCAGAACACATAGGCTCATCTCTGCAACACGGAGCAGGGTACATCACATTACTAAACGTGTATGAAAAATATATTTAACAATAAAAAGTACATCTTGCAATTTAAACTGAATACTAGTACAAACTAAAGTATAGTAAGAATAACCAGCACATTTGATTAGGTTAAGTAAAGAAAGTCATAATGTAGAGAAGCCCCTTTCAGTATCATTATGTTTATTATACTTAACTGTCAAAGGCCTTAGTGACATATGCACAAAAGCTACAGCTTGTGTGAAGATCTATTATAAATAGAAATACAGTAAAAAATAAAATAGTGCAAAAATAATTGTGCAAGTTAATGCAGAAACAAGTAACCTACATGTAAAGTAGAATAAAATCAAACAGAAAGTCAAAAATACTGTAGAGTGGAATAAAATACTGCGAATTGTACTAATATATGTAATAATATGCGCGCAATTAACAGATGTATACATAAGTAAGTGAATAAGTAAAGTTAATATATTAACAAAGTACAGGCAGCACTAACAGAAGTAAAACATGTTGTAAACTCTTTATCCAGTAACTGTCAGAGGAATGAATACTAGCCTATACTAATGTGTCACTGTCATTCTAATCGTTATATAATGCTTTTGCAGTAAATGCAGAGACATCATAGCTTGGTAATGACAGTTAGCTGCTGATAAATACCTTCTCTCCAATCTCCATCTCAGCAGTTAGCATGATATGACGCAGCTTCCTGTGACTCTGCTGCTGGAACCCAGGAGGTTCCTACCTGAACGAAGGTCTCCAGACTCTCAAAACACTATACAATAGTTCGTTTTCTCCTTTTCTTTCCTACAGTATACGATAACTCACTTTTTTAAGGAATAGCAGGAACAATGTTTCTCTTCCGGGTCGTAAGATCACGTGACTGCTACGGTCACCTTTTTCTTAAATTATTTGTATCTGTCAGCAACGAATTCAAACCAAAAGAATCCGTGTATCTACCAATTGTTTTTCTTTATTAAACACGTAAACGGAAGAACGTCTGAGAGGCGTTTTTGCTTTTTACCTTACTAAATGGTCAAATGGTCCTTGGAGCGAGGGGCGGGGCGAAACTCACGGAGGTGATTTCAAAACAAAAGCATTCGTTTGCTAAAATCACACTTTGAATCACTACCGTATCCTGCTGAAGGAACGGTGATTATTATAAACAAGGGGAATTTAGCGATCACAACGAAAGCGGCCAAGACACATATTGAGCCCAGAGAATGGATGTTACTAAGGGCTGTAAATATAATAAGCCTATGTCTAAAATGGACAACATTGTTAGGAGATTTAAACTATACTGCGATTCTGCACTGCGGTCAACTCAGCCACCTCTCGAGTTTTTTTTTTCAAATCAGCTGCTCTTCATTATTCCTGCTATATTTGACGAGTGATACAAATATTTGTTACCATAAGTTCTTAAGGAAACTGACACTGTTGGACTCGGTTCTAGTTTGACTTCTACCAGAAATAAAATGAAGAACTTTTACTGTGTACTTTGTGAGTAATCCTCTGTCAAAGTCCCCTCCATAATGCATGTTTTCTGCTATCTTTGATGAATGATAAAAATACAATTTTACCATTAGTTCTTAATGAAATTGATACTGTTTGACTTTGTATTAGCCTACTACTTACAATACATTGAAGTACTTTTACTGTGTATTTTTGGAGAAATAGGCTACTCTGTCAAAGTCCCCTGCTGATAACAAAATCAAGCCACTTCTGCTAAGTTTGATGACGGAATTCTTTTTTATTGCCATTAGTTCTTCGTGAGATTGATCCTGTTGGACTCAATACTAGTGAAACTACCCCCACAAGTAGCCTACTATGAAGTACTACTTACTGTGTACTTTTCCAACAATCCTATGTCAATGTCCCCTCCTGAGAACAAGAATGCATGTTTCTCTGCTATTTTGAATAACCGTTAAAAAAAACCTTTCTTCATGAGACTGATATTGTTAGACAGAGTATTTTAAGAGGATGGTAGACTTGATATCAGCAATACTTCCAGTCAGTACTCCGGCAGCAGCATTTTACCCCTTGGAAAGTCTTTAGAGTCTGGCCTGGATAGCTGGTCCCAACTCCTTCGGCACACTGACACACTCTGTCACTCTTGTTGGCCTCTTATGGGGCTGCTGTCTTTTAAAATATGATTATTTCTCTACTCCAGTTCATTCCTCGCGGATTATTCCATCGTCAGTCAATAGAGCTTCAAAAAATTTGTCCAATTCAACAAGATGTTTTTTTGGGAGTGAAGGCCGGAGCTACATTACATTGTTTGATTGTTTAATTACAAGGTGAGAGAAAATAAATCCACATCCTCCTTTGAAACCTATTTTATTTCCTTTTCCATGTTAAATGTATACTTACTTGCATTAGAACATTTGCATGTTGAACTACATGCTGGATATCTTCCCCAGCCTCAAGGAAATACAATAAAATAAATTGATTCATAATTAAAAAAAATTGATAAAAATGCATAAATTAATAATGTTGCGTGCAAACATTTCAAATTTAAATATAAAATGAAAAAAAAGTTTACTTTTGAAATGATTTCTCACAAAAACCTTTCTAAATTATAGTAAATCATTAAAAAAGGTTTTAGTCAATAAACGTTTTTCTGCCTAAAATAGTTGAAATTGAACGTAAACTATATCAAACACCACATGCATGGCAATTAACCCATTTGTGCCCGCTATTTAAATTGACTTTGGTTAGTTAATACAAATATTGACATTATATGTATATATAGCATATAATTGATGCAGTCTTTCTGAACACTTTTAAAAAAAAATACTGCAAATGAAGAATATTTTAAATTGTCTGCACAGATATTGCCCTAACTTACAGCAGTTGAAAAGATTTGTGGAAGGATAAATTCTTCATGGGCTTCAATGTCTCTAGTAAAGGGTGTTTTATGTTTGCTTGTATAATCCTCAGATAGTGGTTTGTTTAAATAACTAGTGACATTTTAATAAATATGGCAAAAAATGGCTCCAAAAAAGGCATATAACCTGGCCGGGTTAACCAGTGTGTAATTCTTCAAGCACCACAAGATTCAGAGTTTATAAAGTACAATTATTGGCCATTTATTGTGTAATTTCTCCAAACACATACAGTAAAAATGCCTGTTTTTGAAGCCTTAAAATGGTGCAGGAAAAGGACTTTACATTGTATTATACTTAAAGACAGGACTATTCAGTTAAGAGAAGAGAAAAACGGAAATCAAATTGTTATAATGGGTGATGTAACATTAATGACATACATTATATGAGGTCCTTGGCACTCTGGATCATTTTGTGATCATGGGGTTTCACCCTTACAGCATCAGACAATATCATATGGAGTCAGACACTGGAAGTGTGCTGGAGGCTGATGCGTTGACTGCAGGAGACTGATGGAAGGATGAGGTTGATGAGACTGAAGAATCTGCGAGGAATGAACTAGCGGCTGAGAAATAATCATATATTAAAAGACAGCAGCTTCATAAGAGGCCAACAAGAGTGACAGAGTGTGTCAGTGTGCAGTCTACCATCCTCTTAAAATACTCTGTCCAACAATATCAGTCTCATGAAGAAAGGTTTTTTAACGCTTATTCAAAATAGCAGAGAAACATGCATTCTTGTTCTCAGGAGGGGACATTGACAGAGGATTGTTGGAAAAGTACACAGTAAGTACTTCATAATAGCCTACTTGTGGGGGTAGTTTCACTAGTACTGAGTCCAACAGGATCAATCTCACGAATAACTAATGGCAACAAAAGAGAATTCCCTCTTCAAATTTAGCAGAAGTGGCTTG